TATACAAAAGAAGTGATAGTAATTTTTTTAACTCTACTAAAAGTATGAATAGCTATTTTAACTTGATTAATTTGACAATCAAATTATTTTACAATCACTATAGGTTTTTTAGTACCTAAGTATGACAATTGTATTGTTATTTAAGCGGCAATAATATTATGTAAAAAAAAAAAATTAAACAAAAACACTTTTAAATTAACAACACAAAGTTGTCAATCAGATTACATTGTCACAATAGCGTAGTAATTCAGCCTGTCTGTTACAATGTACGCCAATCATTGCAGTCAACACCAAGTACGAGTATATCATTCAAAACGCCGCGAGTAGTCTTGACCAATAAATGAAACCGGATTGTGCTTACAAGGCTGAATATTTTTTTTTACCTGCAACGAAATATCTGTAAGTGCATATGCATATGTATACATAGATATGTATTGGCTCAAAAATTTATTTTACGCTTGCAATTTATTCTATTCGCACAAAGAAATTCTAGTTAAATGCTGCTACAGTCGATGATTAGCGATGAGTGATGCACAAAATGCACTTTGATGGCTGTCCGCCTGTGTTGTTGCTATAAGAACTACTATGTTCTAAGTGTGATGAAAATATCGACTTGTTTGTTATGATTGCACGCGCATTTGTGTCATCTGTTGGTATGTCCTCAAAGAATGTTGTGGTGCGTCGCTTAAGTACATAAGTATATCAAAAATGTGTTGTGTGGTTTTGAAATAACCTTATTTTAGTTGGCACATAATAAGTATGATATGCAACTACTTGTTAGAGCCGCGAAATATAAAGAACTTCACTATAATGACAGAAAGCTTTTATTTATTTAAACTAGGAGTGCCAGTTACTGTCGAAATACGACCGTTTTTCTAGTCTTTTAATAGCACTGGAGTGGTTTTCTAACTTAGCACGTCGTTTAACTCATAAGATACAAACTTACTTACCGAAAAATCTCGTGATTTGGAACTAAAACGTTGCTACAGTTTTTTATAGCTTTGAAGGTCTTTGGAGGACTTGGGATTGATCTGCTACATTCCAATTTGTCGAAAAATTTCGATAATTTGATACATATGGATAATTCGATGAATTTCAGAAACACTAAAATCCTATAACTGACAAAATTTGATAGCTCAACTAATTTCGATAATTTTTGAGTGCTAGATAAATTTCGATAACTCAAAACTGTATATATCACGATATAAATCAATAAATCGATTAACTTCGGATACCTCTATAAATCTGTATAACTAAGTGATTTTTGATAGCGTCATATTCTTCGAAAGCTATCGACAAATTTCGATAACTCATAACACTTTAGTAACACGATAAAATGCGATAATTCGATATCTTGATGCAATTTGAAAATTTTAAAACTTTGGTTCAATAAATCGACAAATTCCAGTAAATCAATAAATATCGATAACTCGATAAGTTCAAAAAACTCGATGCATTATGATAACTCGATAAATCTCGTTAGCGATTATGCAATAGATATCGATAATTTGATAAATTTCATTAACTTGGCAAATTTCGATAATCCCACACATTTTTGTAGCTCGATAACTAACCATAAATTTCGACAACTAATTTTATATGTCTCTAAATTTAAAAAAATTCAATAAACAATGATTAATTCGAGTAACTCGATAACTAAATAAACATGGATAACTCGATAACTATAAGCTTTGATGATTCGATAAATTTCGGAAACTTGATAATTTTCAATAACTGAAATTTTTTATTACTGAATTTCTTTAGTTAGTAAATCCAAATGCGAAAACAACTTAAATTATTAAACGATGATTTTGGCCGTAATTTTCCCCATCTACCGTAAAATACCATTCCAATGGTATTTTTCGTTTTGAAATCGAGGCGGTAGAATCGCCAAACGAACGTTGAAAAAATTTATGTAAGCCCATGGTGGACACAACAGTATACTTATATAGGTCCTCAATCAGGCTCTTGTGCTACTAGAAAGGATCTCATTGACCTCCCTGCTATACAAACTAATATGCGCAGTTAACAAATCTAAGCACTTACCATATCTTTATGCACGTTATATCGCTCAGGTTCGCAAACATTCTAGCGCAGATAAACCTATTATTCTCCTATCCAGTGCGGGTCATTCACAAAGTAAGTGCCTTACTGACTTAAGGCTCCTGTTCGTTTGCGCAGCTCCAGCAGAAGGCATTATATGGCACTCTGCGTCATTGTTTGTCCCGCGTGCTTTTCTTAAGTGACCTGCCAGCAAACCCATAACCAAGCGGCTTAGTATGCATGAACCGTTATTTTGAAGGCTTTTGTTGCAACTTTAACTGTAATTCAGATGTGTATTAGTTGATAAGTAAAGTATGTGGCATGTTGCAAGTTGGCGGAGATCATGCTCAGCATAAGGAGCTCCCCCGATCTTTTCAAGTTATAATCTGGAATTTGGTCATGCTGCAGGTATCTAGGTGCCTCCGCCTTGCGCCTGCTTCTGAGAAAAAGAATCCTTTCAACAAGCTGGATGCTATGGGAAACCTAATTTTAAGGTCTGATTACTCAAGGTCTGATTAAGACTAACTACAAGTTAAACATCGTTATAGACCCTCTGTTATTTGTTATGGAGCCGATCGCCTCGATAACAATCTTTAACCAGGTATTGAGTATGGGCACAGGAGTATTAAAATATACAGGAATTACCCACTTCACTTTGTGAAGGATATTCAAGGTCTTCTAAGTGATACACCAAATATTTTTTGCGATTTTTTCTTGTTAGAATGCAGCGTTTTAGAAAAGAAAAAAATAGTCATTACTATTCGATTCATTCGGAATTATCAATGCATCAGGTATCCGAAATCTCTTGGAATAAATCGTTTAATAAGACTTAATTTGCATTTTTTCGAAAAGGCTAGAAAGAGGTAGTAAAACACATGTGCTTGTTAAAAAGCAGGGATCGATAACGCGTTCCAGTTTTGCCTTAGTTCTGCATGTCAAGAACGTTCCCACAAAAGAACCAAAGGGGGGGGGCGGGGGTATTGAGAGCAGTTTGAAGTCTGGATCATTTCAATCTCCAGCTCGTTTATCATTAGGGTGAACTGTCCATTTATGGAACAATTTTTCAATAAAAGTTCGTGTCTTAAGTCTTTCGTTGAATTTATTTGCGTAATTATGATTAAGTTCTTTTTTGACAAATTTTAATATTGAAACATTTCAAACTAATGTAGGCTATGTGAAAAGAGTGGTTCTCGCTTCGGTTCTTCGCGAATAGTTCAGAGAAGATTTGTTCCCGTTTTGTTCTCTGTCAGCAAGTTCATGAGACTTTAGTTCCCAAATTGCTTTTCGAGAGAAAGTTCCTTTGACCTTTTTTTTTGCCATTTTGTTCTCTTAGAAATGTTCCCGAAAGTATTGTTCGTAGTGTGTTCTCATTGAGAAGATTCCAAAGTGTTTTATTTTTATATAATTCCCATTGAGAACGTTCTCGGCAGTTTTGTTCTCATTTTGATTTTCGTTTTGAAGCGTTCTTGGGAACGAAACTACAAGAACGACATTTAATTTCAATCACACCTTTTGTTCTCGGTCACGGCAAGGAGTTGTAGAAAGCATCAACAAATGCTATCCCTATTTCCTGCTGCATATATTATGCAATTTAGCGTGAAAACTTTTCTGCTGCCTTACTCGAGCGATATTAATTAATTTAAATAGAATTTTGTACAATTTGCGTGTTGACTCAGTTTGGAAAGGGGAAGCGTATAAAATACAAATATATATAGCAGCTTTCAGTCTTACAGATACAACTTTTACTTAATTAAAAAAAAGCAAAAATGTTTAAACCATCACCTTCACCAATTTCGGCGCTTCTCACAATTAATTTTTTTGTTCGAAAAAGTGTTGATTTTCTTTGTGTCTTTTGTCTTATTTACATAGCTTGCTAATTATGGAAGATGAAAAGCACATTTTTGTTAGGGGGTGTTTGCATGTGCATCTCGTTAAATAACTTACAAATTGTATAATAATACAATCACGAAAATACTGCGACTTAATCTGAAGTTACCACATAAAAATTTAAATTTGCGAAAAAAGAAAAAAAAAACTAAAGAAAGCATTTCTCACTTCAAAAACGCAACATTATAATGAAAGTCGAATTAGCATTTAAATGAAAGTGCTGTATAATGAACACACAGAAATTAGCAGAAGAATAGAGCGATTAAGTAGTTGGTAAAATTTTTAATAGACGCAATAAGACAGTGAACAAGTATGTATGTATGTATGTATGTAAGATTACGCTGAACGTTTCAGTTATCGTTAAATCCCCGATATACAATCTTCAGTTGGGTGTGCTCTAACTGGTTGCTGCCCAAGGAATACTTTCGCTGAGTCATTTCTAGACAAATGCTCAGATGTGGCATTACCAGGCATTCTCAAATGATATGGCTTTCAGGGTAAGGCTGAGATCACACGATTCGTACATTTGCACAGATTTGTATATTTTAGCAGTCACAGAGGGGTGTTGTATTGAAATTTTTATCGAGAATGAGTTCAGCTCAAGAAAAACTTTTCTAAATAATCCCACTATGTAACTGTCAAATGTATCAATCTGTACAAATCGTATGATCGCAGCTTAAGATAAGTTCATTATGTTACCAACAAGAGCAGCAAGAGACCTGACCAATGTCTTGAGTGCCATTTGACTGTTACTGTATGTAGGTATTTGTGGCGTAGCATTATCTGCCATTAAAAATACATTAACGTGTAGTTTTCTGGCTACTGCGATTTCCGCCTCACTTCATATTCGGAAGTAGCACACTGGTGTATAGCTTGATGTAAATTTATGAACTTTGCTACAATTAATCAGATTTGTACCAAAATTCGTAAATTTACACCAAGTTTACACCAGTGTGCTATTTCAGTTGCACTCGTGATATCAATTATTCAATTATTTTAATTCTACAAGTGATCTTAAGGGCTCTATTATCATCAGGGACGACCATGAAAGGGCCATTAGATATTTGATGCAGGACGCCCTAAACATATCCGGCATATGGTGTAGAAAAGGGGGAATTGCCCATAAATCCCAATAAAACTACAGTCATCACCAAGGCGAATTTATACAAAATGGTGTTACTGGCGAATTTAGATTTTCGCCGCGGTACTTCCTAATGCCAAAATGATGTGCTTGTTGTTAACAAGGTGAATTCATATTACAATGAACACAACATTTTGACATTAAAAATTACCGCCTTGGTCATCCCTTTTACTAGAAACAGGAAGCTATGCTTTCCAGATCAAAACATAAACAACTCGTGGAAGATTGGAGCAGAAACCCCACGTGATGGCACGATGATTCACAAAAATGGTAAACTGATGGAACTAACTGCCCTACTTGAGATCGCCAACGTCTTTTAAAACAGGCATCAGGCCAGAACAAAAACGTCTTTAGTTTCGGACAGCCAATCTGTCCTCATAGCTCTAGATATCTACTTGTTCTTATCAAAAACCCTTGTAAAGTGCCATAGAGCACGCAATGAGCTAGCCATAATGGCAAGGAAAAAGCGGAGCTAAAGAGGGGCAGACCTGTTGGTTGTTGGCCCTAGCTCTATTTTCTGGATTCAACAACAAGAAGGACCTCAATAAGTGGGCAATATCCTGTACTGCTAGCCATTGGGACAAGTTAGAGGGACACCATCACTCAAAAAAGTGACTTTGCTTCAGTGATTAAATAACTAAATCTGTGGGCATGCTAAGTAGGAAAAACAAAAAAATAATATGCGTGCAACAAACACATGCATACGCTTGACCTCTGCAGTAGAGACATTTTCACATTCCGTGGTGAAAAAAAGGGACTGCCTCATTACCACCTGCCAAACACTATGCGATGAGATAGTCCGATTTGTAACCGACTAACCGTTGTTGTTGAAATTAGAGGCACATTAGATCCAATCTGGTCGCGCTGTAATGGGCTTGTAGACCAACCCTTACATCACCATAACCATAACCATAACCAAGGGCCCCGCGCTGTTATAGGCATTAAAAGTCAGTAGGTTAAGGTTAAATGGAAGGCGCCGAATACGGTCATTGTTCTTTGAAGTTTGGTGAGCAGATTTCCTACACAATTGATTAAGAGTTTGTTATTTCAAAGACGTAGGATGTAATAAAAGCGTCTCCCTACGAATGCGTTAAACAAGAAATCACTACAGATATTTCAAGGGGACGGACATCATACTAATATGTCAGAACGGCTACCAGTCTACATAGCAGCTGCATTGAAGGTACTCGCACCACTGTTACACAGGTTAAGAAAGAAAATTCAGTGGCCAGGCACTATGTGTTTCTAACGAAGCAACGTCATTTTATTACCGTTTTAAATGACGCTAAGATTACATTCCTAAGTAAAACATCAAGCCTTAAATTTTTATTTGTTTCTGTGAATTCCTCGAAAACACCATACAAGTAAATAGTTATTTTAGCTGTGTATTTTGAAAGTATTCCCGAAAAATTTATCATAATCTAAAATAATTTACTACTAATTTGTTCAAATTTTTCTTCTTTCACATTTTCAGAATTATGTCTATCACCGATCTGCCACCTTTGCCAAAGAGTCTTAGCGGTATTAATAAAATGCTTGGTTCCGATTCTGGTTTGATTAGCGACGATACGGACATGAATATCGAACAACAAAACAACAACAATAACACCAACATCAACAATTATAGTTTGAGTAACAACAATCTAGACAATAAGGTAGACTACCAAAAAGAGGATAATAATAATAATAGCAACAACAATAGCAATAGTACTGCCATCAGCAATAAAAGTATTGGCAAAAATGGTTTTGATTTAGCGAAATCGTTGGAAAGCAATGAAATTGAATTGAACAATACAACCGGCAAGTCAAAGACATCGAGTGCTACAACCACAACAACAACAACAACAACAACAACAACAACAACAGCATTAACACATGCAACAGAAACAACGGCAACATCAGCGACAACAACCACAACAATGTCAGCAACGCCCGCAAAATCAGCCGTCACATCGAATGCCACCGGCGCTGGTGGCGGTGGTACGTTGGCGAGCGTGACA